CTGGAGTTTTTGCTGCGCTCTGCACAAACAGGAGTGTTTGTGATTTGCACTCTGCCCGACAATTATACTGGATGGAGAATTGTTCCTGAGGATTTTGGCTTCCACAATAAGTCTCTAATCTTTATGACTGCAAAGATGTATTTGAATACGCATCAGCTGCAAAAATCTTGGGTTCTATAGGTTGACTATTCAAAATTTTCACCAGCTAGGGATGGACAGTTGTACTCAGAGTAGACTAATGCCTCTTCCTGCAACTAGCAAAACCAAAATGAATTATTTATTTATTTATTTAATTTGTCCCCGCCCATCTCCCCACAATGGGGGACTCTGGGCGGCTTACAACACACTAAAAAACATAAATACCATTAAAATTATATAAAGCAATAACCATAGGTGGATAAATCATGTCAGATGAGAATTATTCAAATCTGCACAAGCAAAGGGAACAGCAACAACTTTCTTAAATTATACATTGAATCTCTTCTTTTAATGCAAAGCTCATCCATCTGGTGAGCTTTCCATTGGGAGGACAAGATGGGGGGGAGTGATGACATGTGAATTGTGATGCAAACTTGCATGTGACACAAGTAAGAAAGGGCAGAGGTTGCATTTTGACATAGCATTTCATCATTTTGGTATCATTGTGGCTAGGAGCAGACACCTATGCAGGTTTGCTCACTTGATTGGGTCCTATGGAGACACTTGCTCTGTGTTATATTACGCTGTTTTCTGATTCATCTCATGACACACACAGATCTGAATTCCACAAACTGATATGGCCAGTGAGAGAAAAATGTAACAATTATTTAATCTACATGGGGCTGCCTTTGAAATGGGTCTGGAAACTGCTGTTACTGCAGAATGCCATTGCTGAGTTGTTGAAGGGGATAATCTACCTCAAACATGTTAAGCTTGTTTTGAAATCAATGTAGCGGTTTCCTGCCTATTATCAAGGCATGTGCAAGGTGCTTGTTCAGGCATAAAAGACCTATACAATCCTTGCAACTTTGCATGGTATTTACCGTATTTTTCCGACTATAAGACGATACTTTTTTCTAAAATCCTTACGTTAAAAATTGAAGGGCGTCTTATTCAAGGAAGTCAGCCGAGGAGAGAACCGCGCGGTGGCAAAACTGCCCATATTTTGTCTCTGCAAACGAGCTTCCTCCTATTTCTAGCCTCCAATCACGAATGAAACAGCTTGACTCTGCAAACAGACTTCCTCCAATCACGAGTCTGATGTAACTGATGTCAGCTGATGCTGAAC